GAACTGAGTGTGAGTGCCCGCTCCACTCCTGGAGAGACATACACACAAACTGGGTGTTTTAGGATGGAGACAGACACACAAACTGAGTGTGAGTGCCCCCTCCACTCCTGGAGAGACAGACACACAAACTGAGTGTGAGTGCCCCCTCCACTACTGGAGAGACAGACACACAAACTGAGTGTGAGTGTCCCCCTCCACTCTTGGAGAGAGAGACAGACACACAAACTGAGTATGAGTGCCGCCCTCCACTCCTGGAGAGAGAGACAGACACACAAACTGAGTGTGAGTGCCGCCCTCCACTCCTGGAGAGAGAAACAGACACACAAACTGAGTGTGAGTGCCCCCCTCCACTCCTGGAGAGAGAGACAGACACACAAACTGAGTGTGAGTGCCACCCTCCACTCCTGGAGAGAGAGACAGACACACAAACTGAGTGTGAGTGCCGCCCTCCACTACTGGAGAGACAGACACACAAACTGAGTGTGAGTGTCCCCCTCCACTCTTGGAGAGAGAGACAGACACACAAACTGAGTATGAGTGCCGCCCTCCACTCCTGGAGAGAGAGACAGACACACAAACTGAGTGTGAGTGCCGCCCTCCACTCCTGGAGAGAGAAACAGACACACAAACTGAGTGTGAGTGCCCCCCTCCACTCCTGGAGAGAGAGACAGACACACAAACTGAGTGTGAGTGCCGCCCTCCACTCCTGGAGAGAGAGACAGACACACAAACTGAGTGTGAGTGCCGCCCTCCACTCCTGGAGAGAGAGACAGACACACAAACTGAGTGTGAGTGCCACCCTCCACTCCTGGAGAGAGAGACAGACACACAAACTGAGTGTGAGTGCCCCCTCCACTCCTGGAGAGAGAGACAGACACACAAACTGAGTGTGATGTGCCCCCCTCCACTCCTGGAGAGAGAGACAGACACACAAACTGAGTATGAGTGCCGCCCTCCACTCCTAGAGAGAGAGACAGACACACAAACTGAGTGTGAGTACCGCCCTCCACTCCTGGAGAGAGAGACAGACACACAAACTGAGTGTTAATTCCCCACTCCACTCCTGGAGAGACAGACACACAAACTGAGTGTGAGTACCGCCCTCCACTCCTGGAGAGAGAGACAGACACACAAACTGAGTGTTAGTGTCCCCTCCAATCCTGGAGAGAAAGACAGACACACAAACTGAGTGTGAGTGCCCCCCTCCACTCCTGGAGAGACAGACACACAAACTGGGTGTGAGTGCCCCCCTCCACTCCTGGAGAGACAGACACACAAACTGAGTGTGAATGCCCCCCTCCACTCCTGGAGAGACAGACACACAAACTGGGTGTGAGTGCCCCCCTCCACTCCTGGAGAGACAGACACACAAACTGAGTGTGAGTGCCCCCCTCCACTCCTGGAGAGACAGACACACAAACTGAGTGTGAATGCCCCCCTCCACTCCTGGAGAGACAGACACACAAACTGAGTGTGAATGCCCCCCTCCACTCCTGGAGAGACAGACACACAAACTGAGTGTGAGTGCCCCCTTCCACTCCTGGAGAGACAGACAAGCAAACTGAGTGTGAGTGCCCCCTCCACACCTGGAGGGACAGACAAACAAACTGAGTGTGAGTGCCCACTATCCAAAAGCCTTGGATTTCTGGGTTGTCCCTAAATACTATTTAATATTAATAATATCATTGCTGTTTGTGGATGTTATCTGTGTGGATGTATATTTTGTGATTTTGATATTTGTATCTGTTTTGCTTAGTGCATTGTTTTACTGCTGTTTGTGTGTGTTTACTATTGGTGTTTTCATTGTTTGTTTTTGTGCTGTTGAATGTGTATGTTCTTTTGTGTGTATTTATTGTTGTTTTGATTGCTTTGTGTGTTTTTTGATTGCATGTTTATCTCCCTAGGCTGTACGTTTTGAGCACGTCTTGCATCTGTTAACACGCTATGTGACGGTCAGTTACTAGTTAAATAACCTTTATTTTATAATTGAAAAACGCTGCAGAAAATGTTGACGCTATGTAAATACTAATATATTAAGTAAAGGTTTTGGGTAAACAAAGGAGAAACAAAGGGTCAAATCACCCTCCTATCCCGGTGAATAGATAACAGACACCGTTTGGGAGTTACCCCGCCCAGCCACCACTAGCAGCTTTCCCTGGGTGTCCCTGGTTTGGCACTTTCCCTTCTTACAAATGGAACCAAATACTAGCTCCCCCCGGCGGCCATTCGCATGAACCAAATCCACGAATAGTCCTCAGCAGTACTCAGGGCTGTCTTTAATATTGATTGGACCCTGGGTAAAGCATTTGCTTGGGCCCCCTTAAACCTGACCTCCCTCCCCAGGCGTGAAAACACGTCCTCCACCCCAACACAGTGGCAGACCTAAAGTAGAGAGGTACAAGAATTTTTTTAGGCCTCCCTATTGCACGGGTGATTAAAAGGAAGTTATCCATCTGTCGTGCAACTCCAGCAATGCACTGACAGCTGGGGCTCTACTATTTACCGATGTTTGAAGGTTCGTATTTAGCACTAAGCTGTTTTTGTGTGTTTGAATGTAAACAGGTTTTTGTATGGAATACGTTTGTATGTGGTGTTGGCGTACTTGCAAGCATGTATTTATGTGTAGTGTTTTTGAATGCAGGGGTGTGTTTACATATAATTTTGGTGTGTAACTCAGACGTGTGTTTGTACGTAGTGTTGGAGTTTGAATGAAGGGGTGTATGCACATATACACACACACACACATAGATTATATATATATATATATATACACACACACTGAAACACATGCAGACACACAGATATACACACTGGCACACATGTAGATATACAGACACATATACACACATGCAGATACACCGAAATACACAAAGACAGCATACAGATACACATTGACACACAGACTTCATACAGATACACACACAGATATACGGACACATATAGACACATAAACTGACAGACATACTTACACAGACACATAAACTGACAGACATGCTGACACACACACAAACACATACTGAGATACATTTACAGACACACACACAGACCTACTGACAGACATACTGGCACACACCCAGGCAGACATACTGACACACACAGACACATACTGGCACACACAGACACATACTGACACACACCCAGACAGACATACTGGCACACACCCAGACAGACATACTGACACCCAGACAGACATACTGGCACACAGATATACTGACACACACACAGACAGACCTACTGACACACACGGATCTACTGACAGACACACACGCAAACACACACACAGACTTACTGACAGACACACACACAAACACACACACACACAGACTGACACACACACAGAGACATACTGACACACACATATGAAAACTTTAAAGCCCCCCTCCAGTTTCCTACCTTCCCTGGGGTCCAGTGTGCTGGCTTGGGTGGTTGGGAGTTGGGGACTGGCTCTCTTTGCTCAGTCCCCAACTGCCTCCTGGCCCAGCCTCCCCCACCCCCCCGCGCGGCTCATCATCTCTGAGGGAAGAAGTGACTCGCCAATGTCATTTCCTCCCAGGCTGCCATAAAGCAAGGGGACTGGGCCCCTGCTGAAACGTGCTCACCCTAAGTGTATTGGCCACCCGGTGGCTCTTAGAGTATGGGCCCCCGGTACAGCCGCAATACCAGCACCGCGTGCCCATGGGTGGGGGTGGGGGTGGGGGAATTTTTCCTATGCAGGCTATGGGCGGTGGGGCCACGGGACAGCTGCTTTGGGCCCACCAGAGGTAACTAGGCGTTAAAGATGGCCCTGGTGGTAGTCGAGACCACTATGGAAATAATTTTGGCATGAGGACTTCGTAGGTTCCTGGACAACTTGGTCTGGGGTTTTGAACCACTTTGCAACCCGCCAGGAGAGCATTTTTTGGAGGGAAGGTTCCTGAGAATAAGGGAAACAAACGCTCCCTGAGAACCAGGTGGAGCACCCCGTATTGCAGACACAGGAGCTCCCAAAAGTTGACCAGCAAAAGCGCCAAACGCCTTGGAACTATTTTGGGCATAGAACCTCGTGTGCGACCGGTCTGAACTTTGACACGTTTTTATTATGTTTTGGGGTACTTTTATGTTTTTATATTTTTGTGTTTGTGTCTCTGTTCCTGGGAGATAATCAGCTTACCGGTCTTTAACCCAATTATCTCCCAGGCCCAGAGATTCCTAGGATGGGCTTGTTCCAGGCCCGAGAGGCTCCAGGAGGACACCAGTCAAGCCACGTGACTGGGGCAGAAGCACTGAGGTTTTTCCCCAGTTCCAGCTAGGAAGCGGTTGTTGGCGGAGGTACCCAGCCGGGGTACAGGGAGCTCCGCTACAGACCTTCCTGAGCTAAAGTTAATAATGGTGCAGCCAGCCTGTCTGGTTAATCTGCCAGTCTGTGTAAGTCCACCCGTAGGTACCACGATAGAAAGGAAAGCAGTAGGAGGCAAGCAGACACAAAACCAAGGCAACAGCAACATGGACTTGCAAGAAAAGTCAAAGTGTTTAGGGCTTACGGCAATGATGGCCAGCATTGAAGCAGAGATGGGTACGCAGGCAATGGCTTTAGGGTCGTTGTTAGTAGGAGAGTCTAACAGTACGCCAGATACTGCACAACCTCAGGTCCCATTCTCAGAGTGATAATATTAGAATTGATTTACCCTCCACATATATATTGATATAACATTTTCAAAGGTTTGGAAGGAAAAGGGTGGTCATAGCAAATATTGAAATACATAGTTACATAGGTGGAAAAGAGACATGCATCAAGTTCACCCTTTCTGACATTGTTTTTGCTGTTCATCCAAAAAAAAAGCAAAGAAAAAAGTTTGAAGCGTTTTCCAATTTTGCAAACAACTTTGAAAAGAATCCTTCTTGACACCAGAATGGCAGTCAGATATCTCCTTGGATCAAGAAGCTACTACTTAGAAATTATATCCCTGAATGTTAATTGTTAATGTTATTGTAATGGATTCCCTATACTCCGACTGAGTATATCCATTGAAGAGTCTCCCAGGTCGCGAAGTGAAGCAGTGATTATTTTGGAGTTAACGAGCCAGGGGGTGATCGGTGTTCGGTAGGTTGCATTAACCGAATGAAGGAAAAACACTTTAGGTTCGGGGAAACTTGAACTAGGGGGAACTGTTCTTAGAAGCAGAGATATAGTGAGTTTGTCACAGTTATGTTTTTGCAAATATTTATTTTACTCTGATAAAACCACCTCTTCAGGCAGAGATTTCACATCCTTATTGTTTTTACTGTTAAGAACAATTTCCTTTGCCTTATACTAAATCTCCTTTCTTCCAGTCTAAATGAGTAACCCTGTGTTCTATGTATAGTCTTGTTTATGAATAGATTTTCAGACAATAGTTTGTAATTGTCCCAAATAAATGTGTATAATGCGATTACATCCCCTCTATAGCGCCATTTCTAAACTAAACCGATTTAAATTTGTTAACCTTTCTTTATAACTAAAATGTTCCATTACTTTTATTAATGCACTTTTTCTAGTGCCATAATGACCTTCTTTAGAACAGGTGCCCAGAATCACACAGCATTTTCAAGGTGTGGTCTTACCAGTGATTTATAAAAAATAAAAATTATATTTTCATGCCAACATATAATATCCCTGTTTATTGATTTAGATGTTTCTTCTGGTCACTCACTTTGCATTTTATTATTGGATAAAAATAAGCTTTTCTGTTTTTGAAAGTATTCTTACTTTACAACATTTATAATACCTCCCTAAAATAATGACACATTAGTATAATATACATTATATCTCTATCTCTCTCTCTATATATATCTGATTGTGAATGAAACTTCTTTTCACCAAATGCATGTTGTTGTTATGGTTAATACTATTATGTGTAACAGTGATATGTTACCGGGGAGTATAGCTAGATACAGGGGATGGAGAATGGAATAGGAAATGGTTTAACTAAATACTATAGATTCATTTAAGCCTTATACTTGTTGTTTGTGTGAGCCTGTGTTAAAAGAAGGAAATGTGGTGTAGTTTGGTTACAGCCGGTAGAGGAGGTTGGGCTCCTGCCACGTGTCTCCTGCCACACATTGTTGTCCTTCCATGGTGCTCCATCTGCCCACCACACAATGCTGTCCTTCCATGGAGCTCCAGCAGTGCACAATTCCGGGTCACTCATTGCTGTCCTTCCATGGCACTCCATCTGCCTACCACACAATGCTGTCCTTCCATGGAGCTCCAACAGCACATGGAGCTCCAGTTGCCAACCACACATTGCTGTCCTTCCATGGTGCTCCATCTGCCTACCACACATTGCTGTCCTTTCATGGTGCTCCATCTGCCTACCACTGCCCACCACACATTGCTGAGCTTCCATGGATCTCAAGCAGTGCACCACACAATGCTGTTCTTCAGCAGAGGACCACACAAATCTGTCTTTCCATGAAGCTCCAGCTGTCCACCACACCATGCTGTCCTTCCATGGAGCTCAAACAGCACATGGAGCTCCACCATGCTGTCCTAGCATGGTGCTCCAACAGCACATGGAGCTCCAACTGCCAAACACACAATGCTGTCTTTCAACAGAGCTCCAGCTGCACACTACACAATGCTGTCCTTCAATGGATCTCAAGCAGCGCACCACACATTGCTCTTTTTTCATGGAGCTCCAGATGCCAACCACACAAATCTGTCTTTCCACGAAGCTCCAGCTGTCCACCACACCATGCTGTCCTTCCATGGAGCTCAAACAGCACATGGAGCTCCACCATGCTGTCCTAGCATGGTGCTCCAACAGCACATGGAGCTCCAACTGCCAAACACACAATGCTGTCTTTCAACAGAGCTCCAGCTGCACACTACACAATGCTGTCCTTCAATGGATCTCAAGCAGCGCACCACACATTGCTGTTTTTTCATGGAGCTCCAGATGCCAACCACACAAATCTGTCTTTCCACGAAGCTCCAGCTGTCCACCACACCATGCTGTCCTTCCATGGAGCTCAAACAGCACATGGAGCTCCACCATGCTGTCCTAGCATGGTGCTCCAACAGCACATGGAGCTCCAACTGCCAAACACACAATGCTGTCTTTCAACAGAGCTCCAGCTGCACACTACACAATGCTGTCCTTCAATGGATCTCAAGCAGCGCACCACACAATGCTGTCTTTCCATGGAACTCCAGCTGCACACCACACAATGCTGTCCGTCAATGGATCTCAAGCAGCGCACCGCTAACTGCTGTCCTTTCATGGAGCTCCAGCTGCCCACCACACCATGCTATCCTTCCATGGAGCTACAGCTGCCCACCAAACAATGATGTCCTTCCATGAAGTTCCAGCAGTGCACCACACATTATGCTGTCCTTCCATGGAGCTCCATCTGCCCATCATAAGAGGGTTAGTAAAGTGACACAATTCACATGTTCTCATTAATGTTGGTAACTTACAACTTTCTCAATCAGGCTCGACTCAAGCTTACACTCACACTCACCAGTCTGTTGGCTGTCCCAGCGCAGCTCATGATTTCTGTTCAGTATGAGAAGGTTTGCTGAGCATTTTACATTTGTGTAGTCTTGTAGTGCAATGAGGTCTCCACTGTATACAGCATGAAGTAGTACAGGGTCAGTGCAGAGCAATGGTGGTTGCTGTACAGGTTTGGCAGAGCATTTCACATACACAGGAAGTCTCGTCGACCGGTAACTCAGTTTCTTCTGGATTTGCCACTGCTCTAACTTCTCTGCTTCTAATTGAAGAGACCGCAAAGCACTGGACGAAAAGGGAAACCTATAGGACGACATATTCTGTGATATTCTACTACCTCTATGGCCCCCAATATCTACTAGATATCTATTTTAACAAGAGACCTGTTCTCTGATACACCCCCTAACACTCCAAGCCTACTAAGAAAAAAAAGCTCTCCCAGTCTCTACTTAGGGACAATCCTGGGTCACTTAGAGATCTCCCAGTAATTAGATTTGGGACAATCCCGGATCTCTCAGAGCTCTCCCAGTCTCTATATTGGGGACAATCCCGGGTCACTTGGAGCTCTCCCACTCTCTATATTGAGGACAATCCCAGGTCACGCAGAGCTCTCCCAGTCTCTATATTAGGGACAATCCCAAGTCACCCAGAGCTCTCCCAGTCTCTATATTAGGGACATTCCCGGGTCACTCAGAGCTCTCCCAGTCTCTATATTAGGGACAATCACAGGTCACTTAGAGCTCTCCCAGTCTCAATATTAGGGACAATACCGGGTCACTCAGAGCTCTCCCAGTCTCTATATTGGGGACAATCCCAGGTTACTCAGAGCTCTCCCACTCTCTATATTAGGGATCTCTATATTGCATCAGACTTGCTCTGTATTAGATTGACTGACAGCTCAAGACTGTTGCAGGTTCGTATTAGGGACCCTTGAAGGACTTTGAAATGTTTTGTATTAGGGTGCTACCCTTACAGTCAGTCTCTGGCTTGCAGCCTGTCTCTTCTTTGGTTAGCTGTTGCTCATGCCCCTAGCTGTCTGTCTTTGGCTTGCCATTCTTGGCTGACTGTCTGTCATTCCACTAGCTTGCCACCTCTAGCATTCTTGGCTTGCAGTCTCTCGCACCCCTTGCTTTTTCAGTCTAGTTAGTTGTGTCTTGCTTGTCTGACTGGCTCTGGCCCCTAGTTGGCTGACTATCTTACTTGGCTAAGTCTCTCACACACTGTCTCTTGCTCCCCTGTCTCAGACTGTCTGTCTCACTTTTCTATGGATTGCAGTCCCACCCCTTCTTGGCTTTCTCTCTTCTCCCCTGACTGTTTCAGACTGGCTGTCTCTTGCTCTCCTTGCTGGCTGGTGATATCTGACTGACTGCCTCTCCTTTCTATGGATGTCCACCTAACTCTTGGATGGCTGATTCAGGCTGGATGTCTCCCCTGACCTGCTATCTGTTTCAGGGTGACTGTCAGTCTGAGATTGTTGTTTCTTACTCCCCTTACTGGCTAGTTATATCTGACTGTCTCTTGGTTCCCTGAATAACTGTCTCAAGTCGGCTAGGTCTTTCTTTTCTTGCAGACTGTCTGACTCCTCTGGCTGGTCATCTAGGGCTGGCTGGCGCTTGCTGCTGTCTCTCTCTCCCTCTCTGTAGTGCCTGACAGCCTGCCACTCTCCTCTGAGTGCCTGACTCAGGCTGTCTCTCTCTCTCCTCGGGGTGTATAACTCAGGCTGTCTCTCTCTCTCCTTGGAGTGTATAACTCAGGCTGTCTCTCTCTCTCTCTCCTTGGAGTGTATAACTCAGGCTGTCTCTCTCTCTCTCCTCAGAGTGTATAACTCAGGCTGTCTCTCTCTCTCCTTGGAGTGTATAACTCAGGCTGTCTCTCTCTCTCCTCAGAGTGTATAACTCAGGCTCTCTCTCTCTCTCCTCAGAGTGTATAACTCAGGCTCTCTCTCTCTCTCCTCAGAGTGTATAACTCAGGCTGTCTCTCTCTCTCTCCTCAGAGTGTATAACTCAGGCTCTCTCTCTCTCTCCTCGGATTGTATAACTCAGGCTCTCTCTCTCTCTCTCCTCGAATTGCCTGGCTCAGGCTGTCTCTCTTCCTCCAGCTGTTTTTTTTCTCTGAGCGTGGGATTCAGACTGCAGGTTATTAATATCTTTTCCAGTTACTCGATCCCCTCAACCTGTAAACGTTAAGGACGGTCGCTCAGTTCTGTTCCGGGTTTACTTTGCCAGTTAACCTCATTCTTTTATTTTAACCAGTAACTTCCATCTTTGTCACTGTGAAAGGGGTCATAAGCCTCTGTTATTGAGACAGCAGTGTTTGTTTGGTGATCTTACAGAGTGTCATGGCTGTGATGGGCTAGAAGAATATTAGGGGTACACACTAAACCAAACACAATGTCAATAGATACAGCCGGGCCACCATCTTCCATCTGTTTATGCCAAGTTTCCGTGATCGAGCCATTTTGGGCAGGCTAGATGGGCTGAATGGTTCTTATCTGTCGTCACATTCTATATATTTCTATGTAACATTTCCCTGAAACAGTCTACAGCATTACTCAGAGAGAAACCAGTGGGTCCGTAATCTTCAATACAAATTTAAATAATAAAAATTATATAAGTGAGGACCTACTCTTCAATGGACTCGTTTTATTTTACTGCCTTTCACAACATTTTAGTTTGTCTTTTATAATAAAGAGTACTTTTTTTAAAGATTTCACCAAGTCTTTTTTTTTTTTTAATTCTTTATTTTATTTGTGCATGAAGTAACAACAAGCGTGCAGAGCCACAACAGCCGCTGCAAGCAGATTCATAGAATTTCAAAGTGTGGCAGGTTAAACGGCACATTTTTTTTTTTTCCCCTCATGAAAATAACAGGCTATAAGACATTCGTGGTTTGCAATAAACATGCTATGCTAAATTTGTATATAACAGAATTGTTCTCGCTTAATGTTATGGTAAGGTGTGTAGCCCTGCAATTCGTGTGTGGACAGGCGTTCATAACTAAGTCAACATTGCAGCAATTCAGGTTCTCGCTTGGTTATTTATATTTGACATTATAAGTCAGGCTGCAGTGCGGTCACGTTGTGTTAGTTTGTGCGTTGCTTGTAGGGTTGCTGTGTAAGTGCGTGCTTATGAGTGCCATGCAAGCTTTGTGCGCATAAGGTTACTACCTAGGCTATTCAGTCAAGTCTAGCTACTAGAGATTAGAACGTGAGTTAATATAAGAAATGTAACTGAGATGCGTACATTTAGTATTGTGACTCAGATAGAGAGCTTGAATAGAGCAGGATTGGTTAGTACTAGCACATTTTTATATTATAGGTTAAGCGAGGATTTAGGTAAATTGAATAGTCAACTTGGTGAGGTTAAAACAGGCATATACGATTTAAGAGCATGTTAAAGGTTAAACAGGCTTACTCTTACTGCAGGTTTGGCAAGTCATATTGTATAGCTTTATAATGCAGTGGTTCTGCGCACTTATGTTTGCATGCTATAGTGGGGTGATGCCGGCAGCGCTGCATGCGAACGTGTTTGGGTGTGTGCGTACCACTGTGCAGATTCCTGCTTGGTGAGTGTGCTCTGGAACATGAGTGTAATAACTCCTAACCAGGGGAGCTGCGGGGAGGGGGATATTGTCATGGTCACGCCATAAACTATGAGTGTATATGTGGGAGTGCTGCCGTGCCCTGTCGGTTTGAGGTGGGCTGTGTAGGGCCCTTTGTGCCATTAGTTGCGAACTATCTACAAATTCAAACATGGTGAACATTCCCTCATAGACAACATATAAGCAAAATCAATAAGTATGCAACAGGGCAGGCAATAAACTTTTGATATTAGTTGGGTTTGCGAGGATTATAATGTGTCCTTGTTCTGCTTCCCCTGGAGGGGCTAAGTGTCCAGCGTCAAACCGGTCCCCAGAGGCTGTTGCGTTCCGTGGTCTTGGAGCTCCCGGCCCTTGGAACAAAGGGGGTGATGTGTTCTGGGTCCCAGCTAGCAGTGGTTGGCCTCCCATGTGGGGTAGCAGCGATCGGGATGTCCAGTCCCAGTGCCTTCAAAAACTCGGGTGCACCTTCCATTGAGGTGAGTGTGTGTTGAGTTCCGTTCCGGTGCACCATTACGGAACCGTTGGGCCCCCATCTGTATTCGATGCCCACTGACCTCAAGCCACCGGTGAGAGAAGAGAAGGTTTTTCTCCAGGTGAGGGTGGCTTTCGTTAGGTCCTGGAAAAAGTACAGTGTAGTTCCTTCAAAATCCAGTGGTGTTTTCCCTTTAAGGGCCGTCATGAGCTGTATTTTGTCTTGTATTGTTGGACATCTGAGTATCACATCTCGGGCTGTGTTTTTCGGTGCCCTGGCGGATGAGGGTAAGCGATATATCTCTGCTGCGGCTAGTTTTTTGGCTGCAACTGGAGGCAAGATTGTGGCTATGAGGCGCCTTGAATAGTGTGGCAGTTCGTTTGGTGTGACTTCCGCAGGGATGCTCCTTATCTTTATATTAGTGCGTCTTTGTTTTTCTTCCAGAGCAGTGAGCTGTGCAGTTATGGCTCTATGTTGTGTGTGTACCTGCTGCACTGATTCTTGTAGGTCGGATAGATGTTCCTGCAGGCTCGTGATGTCTTTTTCGGTTGCCTGCACCCTGCTGGTAATTGCTTTGATGTCTTTTTTGATGGGAGCAAGTTCCGTCGCTAGAATTGTGTGAAAGTCCGTCAGGAGGGTTTTTAGATCCTGTCTGGTGATTGGGGCCGTGTCGGCTGTATCATCCCTCTGTTTTGGGCTCTCTACCTGGGTGTCCCTGGAGGCCGCCATTTCTGGGTGGTGAGTGTGGGCTGCGGGGCTCGGGGGTTCGGCAGGGGCGGTTTTGGCCTGTATAGGCCTCTGAAGCATGGCCCCGATATCCCTGCTGTCTGCTGTGTGTTGCGGTCGTTGGGAGCGGCGACCCATAGCTGGCATGTGTGCCGGTGTATCAGTCGTCGTGGGGGTCGCCCAGTCCCACACTTGCCTTGCCACTGTGCCGCTCAGGATCGCCTCCAGGCCTGTGTGCGTCAGCGTGGGGTAGGCCCCGATTCTCTTTCTTCGCTTGGGTTGATGGGCGGCCGCAAAGAACGGCATCTACCGTTTCAGGATGGGTTGGAGAATCTGTGTGTCCACTTTCAGTGGCTGGATGGGCCAGTTGTGGCGTGATTTTCCCCGGATTTAACGAGGTTTGTGGAGGAGCCCATAAGAATGGCGTCTCCCCAGGTTGATGGTCAGGCTCCGCCCCCTTCACCAAGTCTTTTGAGTACTTACCTGTGACAAACTGGGAGTTTGCCATGAGATTTTGGAGAGGCCTTCTTTCCTGCCTCTTGCCCTGTGACTATGGCCCCTGGGGTGTATTGCCGTTCAAGCACTCTATTTGGGCATATTGGATTTTAAAACA